GTGTCTATTGTTCCTGTTCGAAAAGGACCGACTGGAAAGTCTATAGGGAATGCAACAGCTGTGATCAATTGTGGGTGATGTTCAATTTATACACACAAAACATCCCCTACTCATCATTAACCTTGTAAGACTGTTGACTGAACTGACATTACCTGTTTAGTAGTTTTATGAAAATCAATCCTGACTTACGTTTCTGTCGTATTGAAAGATGTACGATGAACCACAGTCGTGTTTATCGGACCCAACCAAGGTTTGTTAAAGGCCGACGAATCCATATTGAATTTCATCTGGCCAGCTTGCTTTCGAGCAATCATTCATTTCACTACCAGTGAAATACTCATGACTAATGACATCACTTCTGTTTCCAATTCAGTATTAAAAAAATGAGGTCTGATCGCAGAATCATTTTCGTTCATGCTCAAAATCAGTTAGATTTAGACGGCACTAATGTTGCTGATCCTTTCGAAGGCGGCCGGGCAAGCACATGAAGCTACATATGAACCTCTTCTTGGTCGTGTTAACCAGATCGATTCCCAGCTGAGTGAACAACATGAAAATCAATTTTTTGTATATCTTATTTGACACTAGCACATTTTTCTTCTCTACAATTATCCGTAGCCGTTTGTGATCATTGTTCAACCGCGTACGGTTCCATCAAGTAAAAAAAAATGAATCGAGTGTACACGCGGTCACGTACTCCGCTTGCTCGAGGTTGTGATTAGTTGCCTAAACCTGCAACGCACTGTTATGTTTGAAATGCTACCGTTGTTGAATTTACATTACGGTTACAATAGTACTGCTATTCATCCAATCCGACTTCGCCTCATTGTCCATCTTTGAAATGAAGTTACGCAGAAACCAAACGTTTGGAGCTTTTTTGTTGCGGTCATAGTTTCGCGAACTGTTTCTCATTCGTCTACTCAACACATCAAAACTCTGTAATGATTTGGCTCCATCGAACGCTTATTCATATAAATAGGAAAAGTACGGTATTCCGTGTCGGAGTTGACAACTTTCACGCTGGGCTGTAGGTATGGTTTTCTGTGTGGTTTTTCCGATTTCTCGCTTGCTAGTATTACCGAGCGCGTGTTGCAGAACCAAAAACAGGGACGCGGAGAACATGGGTCAAAAGTTAATCCATGTTTATGTTTATTCAGGCATGGTACTTGTTACCGTATCAGGAATAACTGTTGTATTCAAATGAATTACTTTGAGCCCAAACCTAGCTTCAATGCAATGGGAACAGAAGACCGGGAACTGTGGCCACAGTTAGCTTATTTTGAAGTACAAACACTTTTACAAATAGCAACAAGTGTTGCATCGATTACATTAAGTTTTTCATGGGTTTGAGTCACGGAATGCTTCTTTGATTCACAGTACTGGATCAGTGACATCAGTGCATTGGTCTTAATCGCGGCCGTGCACTTGGTGGATCCGACAGTATGGCGTGTTCTGTTTTGGAAAGACTGTTTTGGAAGTTTAGATTACCACTATAACT